TTATCATGAATGACTAATTATTTCAGGTGTGTCATGATTTCATTCAAACTATTAACTTCCAAAATATTAATTTCGTCAATGACTTAGACGTCAATAATAAATTATGATCAACTTTGTATTGCTGTGTTTTTTTTTGTAATTTTCAATTTTGTATTATTGTGATTATCAATTTTGTGTATCGGGTTTGGAGTGTGTCTTGTTTAAATGGCTTCTGTGTAGGGATTCATCACCTCTGTTAAGAGGAGATGTATGTCATGGTAACTCAAGTAACCAACATACCCATAGGTGAAATGTAAACACGCTGAAGACACTATGCAATGGACATTGATAATTGTTATGTTGCTTCGGCTGATAGAGATTGCTGTAATCGCGCATCTAGACACTGCTGGTGGTTCAGAACCTTTTTTGGTTATGTCCTAATTTTTCTGGAGATTACTATTGGTAATGGAATTTTTCGTTTCACTAACTTTGCTGGAACAGAAGTAGGAATTTGTGGAAAGAATTTGGCACTTCAGGGTGAGAGACAATAGCATATGTACACTTTTGGTGTTCTTTTTTTTGTTCAGGCGGAGTAATCAGTTTCGGCGATGTATGTGACTATATGAAAAGAGAATGGAATGTTGAATGAAAAGAGTCTGATTTATCCTCAAGAAGAATATATTATTGTATATTATCAAATTTTTATTTAAGTTCTGTATTAAGATGACGGAAGAAAACCGGATATATATATATATATATATATATATATATATATATATATATATATATATATATATATATTAAGATGACGTATTATGTGTAAAAGCATCCTTGTTTTCTGCAGTTTAGAACTTTTAGTTTCTCTTGTTAGAGCTATTATTGACAACACATCACATTGACTAAGTGCATTGCATTGTTACTAAGTAAAGACGATTTCAACCTACTCAGTGTTACTTATTAATTCCGAACAACTGCGGCACCTTTGGTTAGTGCCGATCTGTTGAATTAATTTTTTTTTTTGATGTATACCATCCTAGTATCCAGTTCACGATGGAGGTAGAAACTGATTCATACCTACCGTTTATCGACGTTATCATAAAGAAAATCCAATCTCGAGGTTTCCATCACTCTGTTTACCGAAAACCCACCCATACCAATCGTCACTTGCATGCCAACTCTATTCATCCACCTTCACACATTAATTCAGTCATTAATACCCTTGTCTCCTGATCAACATGCCTTTTCGATGATGCAAGTAGACCCGCTGAGCTTTCTAGTTTAAAACAATACTCAATCTCAATCCAAAAACTCAGATCATCATCATACGAAAGCTTTTTCTCCTTACATCAAAGATGTCACTGACAAAATTGACAAAATTTTTAAATCAAGAGGAATAAAGACAATATTTACCCCAAACAAAAACTTTTATCTCTTGTCCGATGAATCAAAGACAACATTCCAAATGAACAACATGGAGTTTATGAAATTCCTTGTGCAGACTGTCCCCATCTTCTTTTTGATGTGCCTATCCGTTACGAATGTTGGCGATGATCATGGCAATCTTTATCTTATCTGCAGCAGCGCGGAAATGTTGTATTGAACCAGATTCTGAGGTTCTTTAAACAAGGTTCTTATTCTTCCTGGACCTCGTTTTCCAAATATTTTTCCTTGCAAGATGGCTTGCAAGAAGGAGAGCATATCTGGATTTATTTCGAATAATATGTCCGAAGAATTGTAACTTTCGAGATTTGATGGTGGTCAGTACCTCTCGGTTCTTATTCTTGCTTCTGAGGACCTCCTCATTTGTGACTTGGTCAGTCAGTTTTCTGCATATATCTTCGTTCAAGGTCCACGATTCAACACCATAAAAAAGGACAGAGAAGACGTAGCATCGCAGCATTCTTACTTTTGTATCAAGAGAGAGGTTGTGACTCTTGAAGAAGGCTCCCATCCGATTGAAGGTGGATCTAACTTTTCCGATACGTGCTCTAATCTCCTGGTTGTTGGTCCATTCTTTATTTATTATGGTGAGGTAGTTGTAGTACATCACTCTTTCTACAGGGAATTGGTTGACGTAGAGTTGACCTGTTATCCTTTTCTTTCTTCTTCTTCACGTGCCATCTCCGCTACGAAGGTTGGCTATCATCATGGCAATTTTGACCCTGGAGGCTGCCGCTCGGAACAATTGTATGGAAGTGCAAGCAAACCACTCCCTGAGGTTTCTCAACCACGACATTCTTCTCCTACCTATGCTGCGCCTACCTTCAATCTTTCCTTGCATAATTAGTTGTAACAGTTGATATTTATTCCCACGTGTAATATGTCCCAGGTATTGTAGTTTCCTCATTTTAACACTTAATACGAATCCTTTTCTTACTAATTATCAAAACCTTTGTCTTCTTAACGTTTATATTGAGTCCATATTGTTGACTATAATGCGTGATTTTGTTCATAAGAACTTCTTTTTGTTCATAAGATATTCTAAGTTGCCCGCAAATACTATGGTGTCATCTGCATATCTGATGTTGTTTAGCCGGTAACCATTTAGTAGAATACCTGTTTCAGTTTAGTGCAAAGCTTCGATTAATATTATTTCAGAGTACGGATTGAAAATTAGAGGAGAGAAAATACAGCCTTGTTTCACTCCACGCATGATTTTCACATAGTCAGTGTGTTCACCTTCAACTCTGAAATTTTCTGTCTGATTCCAGTAAAGATTTCTAATTATTTTCAGATCTTGGTTGTTAATTCATGCTTCTTTGAGTATTTGCATCATCTTGGCGTGCTGTACTCGATCAAACGCTTTCTCATAATCAACTAGACGTGCGTATACGTCGCAATTGACGTCTCTGCATCTCTGGAATAAGACTTGTACTGGAGAACAAAGCCTTTCTAGTACCAACAGCATTTGTGAACCCGAACTGGTTGGGGGAAATTTGACTTTCACACAGCTTGTAGATTCTCTTATGAATTATCTTTAGGAACAATTTTAGTAGATGACTCATGAGGCTTATAGTACGTTAATCTTCGCATTATTTGGCTCCTGATTTTTTTGGAAATGCAATAAACTCAGATTTCAGCCACTCTGTTGGTATTTGTCCAGAGTTGTATATGAAATTAAATATGTTGTCCTTAGGTTTGAGTAGTTCTGCTTGTATATTATCAGAGCCTGCCGCTTTGCCATCCTTTAACTGTGTTATTGCGGAATAAACTTCCTGCTGTAATACTCTTGGTCCATCATTTACCTCTTCTTCTAGCTCAAAGGGGTTATCTCTTTGGTCTTCCAATAGTTTTTCTAGATATTCTTTCCACGTTCTTATTTTACTCTGTTTGTCCAAGATGATGTTTCCGTCAAAATCAGTTATATTTCCTTTCTGCCTTCGTCTTAGTACCCCTGTGAGTTCTTTAACTTTCCTATGTTCATTGCGACTATCGTACTTTGACTTCAGAGTCTCATTTTCTTCGCATATTTCCCTTGCTTCTGTTTCTTTCGCTTCTCTGATTTTAGTTTTTATTAATATGTTTATGGTTTTATATTTGTCTGGGTCATTTTTGGCTTCTCTTCTCTCGTCCATTAGTTTCAGGATCTCATCTGTCATCCATGATTTTTTTCATTAATCTATCTGTCTTTAAGTTTATTCTTTACATTTTGCACTATTTTTGTAATATGTTTAATCGTTTCATTTTCTCATCCTCGTATATTTCAGCATACGTAGGTCGTATGATTGTACTTTCCTTTTCTGCACTGTTTTGAGTTTGACTCGAAATACTCTCACCAGTGGAACGTGGTCTATTTGCTCCAGGATAAGTCTTGACAGATGTAAAGCTGTTTCGGAATCTTTTATTTACTAAAATGTAGTCTATTTGATTCCTAATAAGTCTCCCGGGTCTGTCTTGAGGGGATTTCCACGTGTACAGCTTGCAAGGTGGTAATTGGAAGAATGTGTTGGTGACAACTAGTTCTGAGTCTACTGCGAATTTTTCTAGGAGGTCCTTTCTCATTTGTAACTAAGTCCATGTGCTCCAATGTACTGTGTCTTATCTCCAGCTTCAATCTTGTCATTAAAATCGCCCATAATGATGAGAACTTCCTGTCGAGGAATTTTCTGTATGATACTGTTGATGTTCTGATAAAACTCAATTGCTTCTTCCTCCTCTTTGTCTGCAGTGGGATCATAGACTTGGGATGATGTTTATATTAATACTGTTGGCTTCTACTTGTAGTAACATCACTCTCTCTCATATTGGTGTAAAGTTAGTAACGCATTTGGCAACCTTGGGTGATACGATTATTCCGACTCCATATATAGACCAAGCAAATAGTAGAATTTAAAGTCGGATTTATAAACATTATATACCTATATAATATTAATGATGTGAGTAATTCAATAAACATTAAAAGAATACATAAATAATGAAGAGAAAACTCGGCTTGTATATAATTATATTTGATCTCAAGTCAAAGAAGAGAGTGAATGCTAAATTTCACCTCACAACGCAAAAAGTAAATATAAGTACACTAATTAACTATTATTAAGTAATTAGAAACAGTTGCGTGTTAAGTACATAATATGGTTTTTCAAATTCATCCAGTTAAATATATCTAAATTGTTCGTTATAATAAAACAGCTATTTTAAAATCGTGTTTTCCTCGTTTTTAAGATAATGCCGTATAAGAAACATACAGTAATAGGTCCATTGCATTATGCAAATTTTTCGGTCACTTTAAAACATAGTATTTTGACGTCGTTAATTGAAGTTCTGTTTTATTTCTTACTAACATAATGATCTATATGATTTCTATAATTTTTGGCTGGTGATATCCATGTAATTTTTTAATGCTAGAACATAGTAAGTAGTCATTAACTGCATGACTAATTAGAAAAAAATTGAATAAAATTCTGCTGATTGACTGGCCGAAAAGACAATATAAAAAACACGAACTTATTAACCAAATTCGTGTTGGAAATATCTAGGTTATATTTTTTTTTTTAATTTTTAATCCGGATTTTTATTTGCAGATATTTTCTCGAGATACGATGCCCACAGCCATGTTAGAAACGTACAACGTATGCGATAAGCCTCCACCACTAGACAAATTAAATTGTTACCGAGACGATGGCAAAGACGGCCTCAAATTCTACACGGATCCTAATTACTTCTTCGAATTGTGGAGACAAGAGATGTTAAACGATACAGAAAGGGTGATGCACGACAGGGGGAAGAAGCCTCACAGACCCCGCACCCAGGATGGCGGACAAGGAAATAGACATAAGAGGAGAGTCAGGCAGCCGCATAATACTCGAGAGAGGCAGAAGCAGATAGCTAGAGATCACGGAGAGTATATTATGCCGCAAAATACCATATATAGGTAAGTGATTTATGATTTTAGTAGATTAAAATTTTAATACAATTAACTGAATCGTTTAAAATTATGCACACATTGTTTCCATCACTCGCACCTCAAAAAATTACGCAATCACTCACGTGTTAGATTTTATCTAATATATGTGTCAAATAAATGAGTCTTTAGTACTTATTGGTTAAGTTTATTGGCTATTCACTCACAAAAAACGATAAACTTACATTTTTTTTAAACCAACACTACAAAGAAACTACTAAATTTCTACAAACTACTACGATTTCCAGCATTCTAATATAGTTTTTAGCGCCTTTCGCTGTTGCTTTTACCCCAGGTAAGTTCGTAACAGACTTTGGTCTTACATTTGGAAATGTATGGCTTGTGTTACCATGGTGTTTTATATTTGCCATAAAATCTTGAAAAACGATCATCTTGGCCGCTTTTGTGGAAAATAAGGGGTGTAAAACCATTAAAAACCACAAAGTACGCTCTCTTGATGTTACCTTGTCTTTACAAAGACAAGGCATAGTAAAATAAAACACTTCTAGGATTAAAAATAAAAAAAACAGGTACAGTTGAAAAGAAACTCAGCCACAGAGTCTACGAAACAATACGCAGAGCCGCTAGAGCGCTATACTCTAGGCGCGCCTGGCTGACGAAGGACTGACCTGGCTGGCTTGAAAATCACCGATATTTATAAGTGTTGTACTATTTATATTTACTATTTACTATTGACATTACTAAAAAGCTTCTCAATAAACAGTATACTGAGGCAATACATATAACTGATGACCGCGACCAGTGGAGAAATATTATCAATCAAACTGTCCAAGCTGCTGAAGCCCAATTATGAACCACAACACATCTACTAAGATGTTAATGACTGTGATGATGACTATTTATATGGTATTTTCAGATTAACCAGCCAATAAGAAAATTCGAGGCGGGGAGATGTGCATCGGAGTGCATACTAGTTCTCAGACTACTAGTTCTCAGACTATGGCACTCGATGACATCCCCCCGCTCTGGAGACTCTGAGGTTGGGAAAAGGAAATATTTATTACAAAAGTAAAATGTACACAAATGAAAATAGCGATACACAAGAAAATATGTGAAACAAAATTACTGACGTATGTAAACATATAAAAATAAAATGTTTTTGATTATCGCAACACTACACCGGGGAAGATCGGTGGTGGTGACAGCATCTGCAGGTCCATCCTCAGTCGATGTACTCACTCCCTCGGCGGGTTCGTCTTCTTCTAGGTCGTCCGGATCCCATCAGCCATATCAAACGGAGTTTCGTAGGCCAGTGTGCCTAAGCCTACGTGGTTACGACTACATATCTGTAGGGAGGCAATGACTGGACCTACTCCGTGATTTCGGTTAGCAGCTGGGGCTTCTAACATCGAAGGAAACCGGCTTGTCGAAGGTGTCAGCACACTGACGGCCTCAGGTTTGCAGAAGGCCTCGATGTCGGCATGTTAGCTGGATGCGCTAACATCTGATGCTTCTCCCTGCTGTCTTTCTGAATCCAGCACATGGTGGATTCATCTGTGTGCCTTCTGTGCAGGTGGGTCGCGGGCTCGAAAGCTAGTTGGGCGCCATGTCGTCTTTTTGTGGAAAATAAGGGGTGTAAAACCCTTAAAAAACCACAAAGTACGTTCTCTTGATGTTACCTTGTCGTTACAAAGACAAGGCAAAGTAAAATAAACCACTTCTAGGGTTAAAATAAAAAAAAGTTAAAAGAAACTCAGCCACAGAGTCTAGGAAACGATACGTAAGCCCCTAGAGCGCTATACTCTAGGCGAGCCCGAGGACTGACCTGGCTGGCTTGAAAATCACCGATATTTATAAGTGTTGTGTCACCTCGGGGTATATGGAAAGGGTCTTGCCACCTTCTGTACCACCGTGTGCTCTGTAGAGGGGCTTCGAAAACATCGTGAGCTCCTCTACTTTTGTCCATTTTCAGGGTATGGACTTCAAAATGTTTTGTTTCCTGATGGCTCGTCTTAATAAAGACGAGAGATTTCTTACATGACAAATATCTTACATGATAGTTGTCGAAATAAACATCAGGTTTGTTGTCTTCGATGTCTTGCCTTGAAAAAGGCAAGTTATTTCTTACATGACCAAATATATATATAGGTCGAAATAAAACACCAAAAATACAGTAGAAATAATACTCAGCCACAGAGTATGGAAAGCTAAAAGGGAAGCAGAGCCCCGAGAGCACTAAGCTCTCGGAGAGCCCGTGAAGGACTGAACTGATTGACCTGAAAATCGCCTATTTTTATACTTTCTGAAGTAGCGATTAGGGATTTCCAGGTCAGGGAGGGGCCAACGGGAAAAATAAGGGGCGGGGCGATGCGTGTCGAACGTGAACTAGTCGCGCCCGAGAACAGTTGTACTATTTATATGGTATTTTCAGATTAACCAGCCAATAAGAAAATTCGAGGCGGGGCGATGCGCATCAGAGTGCGTACTAGTTCTCAGACTATGGCACTCGATGACACTTTCTCCTAAGGCATCTTCAGGATTACTGAGTAGATCTTGAGTGGACCACTCAGAATCGGTATTGTGAATACTGTGTTAAGAACGAACATCATTTAAGTCCTGGTCGGAATCTAGAGAGAGGTGCCACATCGCTGTCTATCTCTTTATACTATTTTAGTAACTCTTCTTCTTCCTCAGATGCAAATCCACTAATGGATGTTAGCGATCACATTTTCCATTAATTCTCTATTTCTTGCAATATGTATCAGAGATTGTATGTCGTTAATCCCTGTCCATTGCCTTATGTTTCGGAGCCAGGACATTTTCTTGCGTCCCATTCCTCTCTTGCCTTCAATTTTACCCTCGATTATAAGTTGGAGGAACTGGTATTTTTCATTTCGCATGATGAGACCTAGATACGCCGTTTTTCCTTTTCTTGATGGTTTCGAAAAGTTGGCGTTCTTGGTTTATTCTTTTAAGGACATCTATATTTGTGATTTTCGCTGTCCATGGTATTTTTAGGATACGGCGATAAAGCCACATTTCGAAAGCTTCTAATCTGTTTATATCCCTCGTTTTGAGTGTCCAGCCCTCTACGCCATATAGCAGCACTGACCATACGTAGCACTTAGTAAACCTTAGTTGAAGATAAAACTCTGAACAAGTCAGTACTTTCTTGAATTTTACGAAAGCTTGTCGAGCTTGCTCAATGCGACATTTTACTTCCCTGTCCGATGCCCAGTCTTCAAAAAGCCACGATCCCAGGTATTTAAATTTACTCACTCTTTCAATGGACTTAGTATTCAGTGTTATGGTGGAGTTTTCAAGTGCATCTAAGTTTCTGGAGATGATCATAAATTTGGTCTTTTTGGTATTAATCTCTAATCCCATTCGCTTACTGTATTCTCCGATTATAGTGACAAGTTGTTGAAGATCGACTGTTGTCACAAATTAGACACCATCATCAACATATCGTATGTTGTTGATCAATACTTCATTCACCTTGATTCCCATCTCTGCATCCTCCAAAGACTTTTGAAATATGGCTTCCGAATAAATGTTAAAAGAGGGGAAAGCACACATCCCTGTCGAACGCCTCTTCTTATATGTATATTTTAGTAACTGGTTCTTCATTTTCTTACCTATATTTACCTACAATAAACTAAACATGTATAAAAATGCCCAGCGCTTATAATAACGCTCTTTCAACAATCTATATTTCACTAAAAATCTTACCTTTTGTGATAATATAATTTTTCTCAAGGGTTACACTTTCTTATCTGTGTTTTAGAAGCTCATTGGTTATTCCGTCTGGTCCTGGTGACTTTCTATTTTTGAGTGAATTTATGGCTATCTCTACTTTCTGAAAACTGATTTTTATTTTGTTTTAATTCAGGTACATTAATGTGTTGATTATTATTTTCCTTTCCTCTAAACAGTTCTGTCAGGTATCTTTCCCATTCGTTTGCTGGTATGTTATTCTTCTTAGAGTGCCGTCTCCCTACGGAGGTTGGCAATCATAATGGCTATTTTTATTTTAGATTTTGCTGCTCTAAACAAATCAATCGATCTGCATTGGTACCAATCACGTAGATTCTTTAACCATGAGTTCTGCCTTCGGCCAACAGATCTTCTTCCTTGAATCTTTCCCTGTATTATCAGTCTCAAAATTTCATATTTTGGTCCCCTCATCACGTGGCCTAGGTATTCCAGTTTTCTGGTTTGTATAGTGGTGATTAGTTCTGTTTCTTTACCAACCCTCTCCAGTACTTCTTTATTTGTAATTCTATCAGTCCATGATATTTTCAATACTCTGCGGTATAATCAGAGTTCGAAAGCCTCGATTCTTTTTAAATTACATTTTTTTAATGTCTAAGTCTCAGCTCCATATAATAATATTGAAAATATATAACAGCGAATGGTACGTAGTCTGATCTCCAAATTTAGATTTTTGCACGTTAGGAGTGGCTTCATTCGTATAAATGCTGATCTGGCAATCTCTATTCGTCTGTTTATTTCTACAGTATGATCATTGGTTTCATTGATCAAAGTTCCCAAATACTGATATTTTTCTACCTGTTCTATCACGTTACCATTTATTGTCAATAGGTGATGTATATTTTGTGGCCTTTTTGTAATCAGCATGTACTTCGTTTTTTTGGCGTTTATAGTAATTCCCATCTCAGCACTATTTATACTCAAGCTTTCGATAAGATGTTGTAGATCCTCTATATCTGTATGTTATTGTATTCCTTCAATTGTGCCATTTCTTTCCGTTAATTTCTTATGAATCTCCATATTTGTTTTTGTGTACCGTAGAAGTCGCTTTCCATCCTTTTTGTAAACTGTTCCCTGTGTTCATTTTTGTTCTTCTTATCAACTGCTTTAATTTATTTCGTACTCTTCTATTGATGTCTCGGGATTCTGGAGTATTTGATGTTTTGTACTTCGTGTAGACCTCTCGTTTCTCTATTATTTATTTTCTGAACCATGGTGTATTATTGTTGTTTCTTTTGTTCAGTATGACTTTCCTAGAGCTTCTGTTGCTGCTTCTTCAATGTTGTTTTTAATTTTCTTCAGCTTACGTTTATATCTTAGATGTCGTCTATTCGTTTCGTATGTATTCAACATCAAAATATTGAAATTACTATTAAATGGCGAAACAGAATGACGAAGGATGTAGCTATTAATTTGGTAGAAGGATTAGATTCGTAATGCACGTAGGTACGGTCCCAGTAATCTGTATCGTAAAGGTTTTATTACAGAATATAATGTAGTTAACATGACGTGAGATAATTATACACTGAAGACCATATAGTTATAGTTACAAACGAAAAAGAGGAAGGCCACAAATGAGATGGTCAGATGGCTTGAAGAAACTCGCAGAGGAGGCCTATGTCCAAAATTGGACAGCAAGGTCTGTATAGATAGATAGAATATGACGTGATATACACGTTATCATAAGACTAATTTAAAAACGCCCAAAATGATGTCACACTGACAAGACATCGTTGTCAAATAATAATTTTATTTACTAAAAATTCCTCGTCATTATCATTTTCAATACAATTTTCAGCTTCATCAAAATTTAAAACTATATACGTTTACAAACATAACTTACAACTTAATATAAAAAGTCTAATGAAGTCGTCATTCCCAAGTAACATAGACATTAAAAATAATAATTATACAAACAATTAATTTTTCAAAATTATCTAGAAGTATTATATAAATTGAACCACTCATTTTGTAAAAGCCTTTTAAATGAAGCAGGCATGTTTACCTAAAGAATTTAAAATAAAATGAACAATGACAAAATTATTCGAAATCGAAACTTAACACTAAGAAATGATTACACTTGTAGGACACCTCAACAACTGCAACAACCTCAACAGCAGATGCCGCCTGAAGAAATGATGGTTCCCCAACAGCAAATGCAACAGCGGCCACCCAGACCCAATTCTATCGAAATTCGCCGCTCTTACCAACAAGAAGTTCCAGACGGTATCATGTCACCAGCTTATCCTCCTTACGAAGAAAATCCTTACCAACACGGCCTCTATGGGCAAGGCCCATTGAGCTCGGAATCTTTGTATGCGGGTGGAACGCCTACGAGAGGTGGGAAAATACGACCCTCTCAACCACCACCTGCGCCTCCTAGCAATAATAGCACACCTTCCGCTAGTACACCAACGAGAGGGAGGAGTATGTCGACAGGAAGGTAAGTTTCATAATCTATCTACACTAAAAAAATCACACAGTATGAGTCGCCACAGAGATATTTTTAGTCGCCATGAGGTCATTGGTGTAATGTATCTCAATCTCTCATTTTTTTAAAGCATTTCATCATTCTTGGCCGTTTTGAAAGTTTTGATCTTAGGTTGGATTCTCATGAAAATCTGTCTTGGTTTCTTTTGTATCATGAACTTACTGTTTTTCGTAAGAGGTAACCGAAATAGCCGTAGTCTTTTATGAAGATTTATTGATTTCAGTATTTGTTTTGTGAGCTACTTTAAATTCATTCATATTAACAAAAATATTCTTTTTACCAATTTTCTTGAGAGGCCAATATTTTATTAGATACAAAAGTATTAAACAACTGATAACTGATTTTAACATTATTATTTAGTGGCTTTTTTGAATTTACGCCAGTTTAACAATAGTCTCTCGCATTTTTTTTGCAATTTTCTGTTACTACATCGACTAAAAATCGTAGTATTACAAAGTGCCCTGATAGAACATGGAATCAGCTTGGAATAGGAACCTGTAAGCATGAAGGAGGACGAGAACGATCTACAATTCATTTTGAAGACCGTTTTATAGTTGTACCTTCAAAAATAAACAGAACTTGTGTGTTCTCAAGAATCTAATAACTTGTTCAGACAAACTATTTGGAACACATTTGGAGTGAAATATTGGGCAAGTAAACCAGATCCAGAATCCATAACAAATATAATAAAAATGGCTAATAAGTCTATTCCTCTGAGTCGAGTGTCTTCAAAGTACCTACAATGATAAAATAAACGCAGGGTCGTGAAGTGGAACGAGGAAAAAACCGCAATAAAAACAGACAGTATATAATTATCCCCCGTTTAAAAACAATTTTTCATAAATGTTGTACTTTGTCATCATAATAATTTATACCCACAACTTTTGCTTCAAATTGTTGAATTTTTTTTGTATTACACATACAAATTTATATTCTTTTTCCTTTCCTGGGAATTTTGCAAGTACATAATCCCCCTCCATATAATTTACATGATCAATATTTTTCTTATCACTGCAATCACCTGTTTCAAAAGATATATCATCAAGACTGCTACTAGATTCAACCCATGATCCATTATCATCACTTGACTTTTGTTACTAACTTTATTTTGTTCTTCACTTTCAGTTTCTGTTTTTAACAAAGTTTTTTTCTTCTCTTTTCTTGTGTCTTTCTTCTGCTTCTGTTTTTCTTCAAGAAGCTTGATTTTCTTATTTTCTTTATTTTTATGATAAGTTTGCCATTCTTTTGGACTAGCCACAGAAGAAACTTTTTCCACACTAACAACTCTGTTACTTATTTTGGGATTTCTTTTTAAGAATCTAGTAAACCAGGTTCTTCCTTGCTTGTCATCTTTAAAGGGATTCTGTTTACTCAGTTTCTTCATAAGCACCCGAAACAAGAAGAAAACTAAATTTTTTTTCTTTGAAATAATATTAAAACTAATACCTGAACAACGCTCATAAGCTTCTGTTGTTGTATAGGAAAACCGGCTCTGGATACATCAATAATCCACTTCACTAATATCTTCTCCTGACCTTCCTTCAGGTATGGTTCTGGGCCCTGGTTTGACTTGTATAACAAAGTCACTATGGGTATACCATACTTCTTTGCTGTTATTGAAACTGGCTTTCCACATAGTACCTACTTCCTCAATAGCTTTCTCCATAGCTTCTTCTGTATATCAGAACATATGTCATTTTATAGGACGCATATTTTTAACTGAAAATTAAAATTTTTGTTTTAGTAGTTGACACCCAAAGTGTTTCAATAGTTGACATAGTGTCAACTACTAGATAGAGTGGATACATTTACGCGATATTTAAAATTGAAGTATACACATTATATACAATGAAAATCACAATAAAATATTATGTTTTTACAGTCTTTTAAGAATAAAACAAACTTAAAACATTAGCAAGGTGTTACCTTAATATTCATATAATATACTGATTATATCTCAAACTACAATCATTCACAATTTAATCAATAAATAGATTTTTTTTACCTTCTTAATACTTTTGTTTAGAAGACTTGTTGACACTTGAAGTTCACTTCTTCTTCTTCTTCTAGTTCCATGACCGCTATCGATCGTTGGATATCATGTTGGCTACCATATTCGCTATCGTGACTTTATTGACAGCAGCTCTAAATAACGATGTAGTTGATTTTCCATACCATTGCCTTAGATTTTTCAGCCATGATGTTCTTCTTCTACCAGGACCACGATTACCTTGGATCTTTCCCTGAATGATCAGATGTAAAAGATCATATTTTTCAGGGTGTCTCATAATATGACCGAAGTATTCCAGCTTGCGTTTCTTTATTATATTGACCAGTTGTGTTGTTTGGTTCAGCCGTCTAAGGACCTCCTCATTTCTAACTCTGTCGACCCAGCTTATTTTCAATAGTCGTCTGTATACCCACATCTCAAAGGATGTCAAGCGTTTAAGCATAGCCTCAGTTAGGGTCCACGCTTCTACTCCATACAGCAGGACAGGAAAGATGTAGCAAGATATCATACGAACTCTAAGGTCAATGCTAAGTTCACACAACACTTAAATAAAAATTTGGTGAGAATTTTCTGTTTCAAGGTTAAATAATTCTAAAGTTACAGAGAAGATGTATCGATGACAATAGTTAACTATGATGGTAATAATTACATTAAAAATTATTGAAAAATATTATTTATGCTTAAAATGGAAAATATCAACTATTGGTACAATTTCAAGTACTAGTGCATTTACCTTAATCGTTTAGTGTTTGATGATTGGAGAATCAATTTCTAAAATGCATCGACACTTTTTAGGGACAATTTACCTCCACCGCCGCCACCTCCAGAAGCGACTATGTCTCCACCCCCACCAAACGGCATTCCAGCACACATCGTCAGGCAGTCCAGTCAGTCACGGTCAAATAGTCCACATTCACACCAAGCTACACCAGAACCTGCTCAAGATTTACCTCCACCACCGCCAGCTCCTGTTAAACAGGTGAGTTGATTATATTTTTAACTATTTTAATTTGAACCTGAAATGCTGACTCTTCTTTAAGTTCCCAATTTAAGTCAAATGGAAAGATGCATCAACAGTTATGAAAGAAAGGAGCAGCAAAAAGAGGAAAATCAAGAAGCATCAAACTCTGCATTGTATTATGAAAATAATAAATAATAATAGTCTTCCATTATACTGTTAGTGGAGTTTGGGAGAATAATAGGGTAGTCTGCTATTTCTTGGAGATGCAGTATACAAGGAAGGCAACGGCTAGAATGGTACACTTCATCTGCCTATTATCATCCCTGGTTTTACAGAATGTACTCATTTTATTTTTACAGAATGTACAGGCTGAGTCGACCGAGGCCTTAAAATATTTTGAATATACCTACCGACGCTAATGATCAAACCCCATCTTTCTGCGTGATAGTCAAACATTCTACCGTTTGAACTAACAGCCCTTGTATTATGAAAATCAGAATCAAAATTAATATACTACTTACTTTTACTTTATTATTTATAAAATACCTAATTTTAGGCTTCTCCACCAAAACAACAAACGCCCGTTGCACCGCCTCCGCCTCCTCCCCCACCAATGCCGATGCCGATGGTAGTGAACGGTCCGACATCCACTCCACCGATGTTAAATGGAGATTTAGCCAAAATTCTGAATTCCGCGCCACCAAAATTGACACCTGTCAAAGATCGACCGATGAATAAGCCACCGATGGTCGACCCTAGGAATGATCTTCTGAAAGCCATTAGAGATGGAATTAAATTGAGGAAAGTAGAAAAGATCGAACAAAAAGAAGTAAGTTTTGATTGTTTTATTAACTAGTATCAAAATTTGATACGTCATTTTGTTTTGGAATAGTCTGTACATAGTCGCATATATATTACTGAAATCATACTTCAGGAACTTCCAGATGAAATCAGATATAATGACAACGAAACTTATTATTCGGAAGCTATTTTCTTCTTTTTAAAAAACTTTCTTTTTTAAAGTTCTGAGTGGTATGAAAACCTCTAATTTAAAATGACTGATCAACACAGTCATAATCACGATGAATCACACTGATCATGCTGCTTAAAAATTCTAAATGAAAGTCATGTAGTACATTTTTTTTTTTATTTAAACAAATATACCCGCATCAACCACTAAGGGTTATTAGCAGGGGGACATACACAAACAGTAAGATACATATTGTTACATAAAAAAAAATATTTTTTACAATCTCGTATATAGTTTAGTCATTTTAAGAAAACTTAATAAAGCCTGTAAATTTGACGTTAGTACACTTTTTAAATTGTCACTAAGGGCACACGCGATTCTTTCGTTCTGGTACACTGGACACTCAACAATTATATGTTTCACTGATAACTGAGTGTTGCACATCGGAGCAGGCTCCTGGTTGAAGATATGCTTGTGGGTAAGGAAAGTATGTCCTATTCGGAGTCGGTTGATAATGACTTGATCTTTTCTATTATTTGGTAAGATGAGTTTGGTTCCTACTTGACTTAGACATTCTTTAAGTTTGTTGGCAGTATGATCCCAAGTAGTTTGCCACGCTCTGTACATGTAGGCTAAGGCTCTGTAGTACATTGTTATTTTAAGTTTAGCATGGGTTTAAAGTCTCTGTTCCATTGACTTGTACTTACGTTTACGTGTTTCACTCATTTTAAAGCAGTTTAATACACGACACGAAACAATTATTGTCCACACACATAACAAATATACTGTCATAAACAGTAAAAATCTTAAGTGAAACAAGAATCACTGACTGTAGGCTTACCGTAAAGATGAGCTCTTTACCTGCTCGCGCCTGGCTGGTGCTGCAACTGGCTGTCGCCAGTGTATGACAAATGCTCAGAGAGTAGGCCGGACTAAGCGGAGATCGAACTAACCGAGGCTGAACTTACGAGAGTCTACAGTATTTAGCACAGAATACACGGGGCACAATTTAGCGTGTACCAAAAAAGTCACCGCGCATGCTAAATAATGACGTCACTGGTTTGATGACGTTTCATTCAAGTGTATCTAACTTTTCGATTTGCTTACAAGTTAGCGGTTAGCGTGTACCCACACCGAAAACGTTTTACTTCATGTAGGAATTTTTGTATGAGGCGACTGAGTAGTTACGGATCTGATGCTACTCATGTTTCTCTTTTTATAATACTTAGTAAATTGTACTTGTTTGTCTTCTATTTTTGTACATGTGTATATTTTATATATTTATTTATAAATTGTCTGGTTCAGAAGGTCAATAAATTATATTATTATTTTATATATAATATTTTAACCATTTATATTTCGTAACAATTTTTTTTTTTTTGAAAAACAGTACTTAATCCATTTTCTGTTGACAGGTCGAAAGGGGCAACGGTTTACACGACGTCGCCAGCATCTTAGCCAGGCGAGTAGCGGTGGAATTCAGCGATTCTGAATCTGGTAGCGACTCGGAATGCGACAGCGAGGGATGGGGCGAGAATGAGACGTCAGCGTGACACAGACGCAAGGCTAGCACTGCTAGCCAGGTGTATTGATTGTCGATATGGATCACTTGGACTTCGATTGGATTGGCTGATTGGTCTCGAAGACAACGAATACGTATGTAGAAAGGAAGATGGTGAGATTTTTGATGAATGGGCAGAGAGAGAAAGAACTGGTAATGTTTTTATGTCATTTAAACATGTGTCTTGTAGGTTTTACTAGCGTCGAATTATTTTGTTATTAAAAAATGTTTAATTTGCATTCTAAGCCAAAAATGTAACTGTAATAGAATAAAATGTTCAAAGGATATCGTGGATATCGAGATTTTTTTAAAGCATAAAATATAAAACTATCCTTGTTCAATAAGGCACTTCTCAGTCCAAGCAATATCTTTATATATTTCGTCGATGATACTATTGTATCATCATTGTTGTGATGATACCTGATTTTTCGGATTTATAGGCAATCTCATGGAAATATTTCTTGCTGACGTTGCAGACATCAAAGAAATGCGAGAACCGGTGCAGAATAAAGTTAAAACTATTACTGTATCGCTTTTTCACATCTGCGCAATGAAAGATGAAACTTCATTAACAAATAATTCCAGACTGCAGCCTAAAATCCTGGTTACTGTTGGCATGCTATTATATATTCCGAGTTTCCGTATTGGGCTGGTTCCTTTACGTCCGTTTTCATTTTAGAGGGTATTTTAAGAATTAAAATGGCTTCGCGCTACTAATTGTACACAGAGACAAATTTATTTGTCAACTTGCTTCTTCTAGCTCGAGACTTGACCCAGCAATGGTCCAATTTCTCTTTAAACCGTCTTAAAAATACGTTTTCTCGAAGTCTGCAAAGTAAGCCTCTGTGGCGGCGGTGACTTCCCCATCCAACTCAATTTCTACCCGGCGAGGGATTTTTTCAAGTTTAAAAATAAAAATAAGTCGCACGGTGATAAGTCGCACGGTGCAACTGGAGAATACGGTGGATACGGCAAAAGTTCGTAGCCTAATTCTATCAATTTGGCTGTGGCCACGGCAGAAGTATGAGCCGATGCGTTTTTATGGTGGAAGATGACTTTTATCGCAAAATGTGGCAGTTTTTTCTGCAAGTCTGCCCAATAATTCGGCATAGTAGAGCCATGTGGCTGTTTTGTTCTTCTCCAGATAGTGGACGTAGATCACACCTTGTAAATTCTAGAAAACAACGGTAGCCATCACCTTTACGGCCGATAGGACATTATTCGGCTTCTTCGGATTGCACTTAAACATCGTCAAATATTACTCTGAAGTGGTCTCACGGTTGCATTGAGTGGACAAACGCGGCACTCGTGTCGCTTTGCCAAAACTTCATGCAAGATATAAACCACGCGGTCTTTTGAGATGCCTACTGTCTCAGCTATCTCACGCAACTTCAGTGGGAGTCTACCAATAACCCCCATTTCCACACGCGGTCAAAACAAAACTACGAGTCCTACTTGGTTGAAAGTTTGACAGTAACCTACTACGCGTAAGTACTACACGATAGTCTTCTTCTTATGGTGCCTATCCGTTACGGATGTTGTGACACTAACATGGCTATTCTGACTTTGTTGACTACTGTCCTGAAAAGTCCGGTAGTGGTTAAGTTAAACCATTTTTGCAGGTTATGCACCCAGGATATTCTTCTTCGTCCTGGACCTGTTTTCCCATACACTTTACCTTGAAGTGTGGTCCGAAGTAGGTCATATCGTTGTTCATTGTATAAAAGTTGATCTTAGCCACTGTTGGGGTATTTTTCCACTTTGGTATATATTGTTGAAGATCAAGGTAAGTCTTTTTACTTCGTCTTTATCCATAATTTTCAAGTGTGATGGTAACATTCCTATCGTCTTCAAATGTTGTTGTCACATAGTTCATCCATGTTGTTTTCGTTTCTTCAGTATCAACTATTGGATTTCCTTGGGAGTCTGTTAAGTGTCATGGCCTTTTTGATCTATAGATGCCTACTGCTTCTTTGATCTTTTTATGGAGGTTGAAGGAATCGTGTTTACGTTCCAATATCACAATTTCTTCACACTGTTCTTCCAGATTTTTATTTTTAGCTTCTCTGATAGCTTTTTTATCTCTTTGTCTAGAAATTAATATGCAACGTAGTCTTTCCGCTTGGATACACGATAGTAACCCTCCCTTACGATAGTGACCGCAGTAGTATTTGTCGGACCGCTCTCGTATCACTATGTCAAAGAGTGCTAAAACAAAAACATTAAAAAGTATTATTGTATTGTATTCTCTGTAATTATTGTATTCTTGGAAAAATTTACTAAAAAGTAATAAAATTTCCATAATTTCCTTTATTAAGCCAATAATAACTTCCATCATACCATAAGAACAAAAAGATCTCGATTGTCCAACTTTGTGTTTTAACATAGAATTGAAAATGTGATGTTTATTCAGAATTATGATGTTATTGAGATACACTCAATTATTATCATGTTATACGAATTTTCAACCGTAAATAAGTCAATTTCTTTGTATAAATATTAGGTTCGAGTAAAACCGATAAGACCAAGCAAGAAAAAAAAATCACATCGTCAAAGAATGAAATGTCATTTTCAAACTAATCAGAGTCATTTCATGGTAAGGCTTCTTTGTTATGTTTTTATAGTTTATTTATTCACTACCTAAATTAAAGTAGCAAATTTTTACTGAAAGACAAAAAAGACGCGCTAGATTATTGTTTGTAACGCATTAACAATACTTTTTATTTAGTTGTCATATTTTTTGTGAAATAAGTCTGGGATAAGATAAATATATTAAAATCTTTCGGAAAATTTCAGTATTTTGCTCTAACGTTTATTGTTACGTTATCTGCGGCGTTCAAAAATTACCAATAATAGTAACTGATTAAAGGCAAGCATAGGGTATGTTATAAAAAAAACGAGAGCGCTCATTTGAAATACTAAATCAGGCAAAGCTAATTAGAACTAACTGAATTATTTTGTTATACTCCCAAGTACTTTTTAATAGCATATATTTAACTTTCTTTAAAATATATTATCATATACACTCAATTTGAATATTTTTGAGGATTGAAGATTTGAATTTAAAGATTAACTGTTTGTCTAAAAGTATATTTCACGTAATAAAATACAATTTTCGGTGTATTCTAAAGCAGTGGTTCTCAAACTTTTTTAGTCGCGGCACCCTTCTAGGACTAAAAATATTTCGAGGCGCACCAACCCTTGAAGCGATTTGGGCAACGACAAAAAATGAAAAAATTCTGAGGCTTATTTGATTTCAATATAAACTTTATTTCAAATCAATAAAATACAGTACATTTGATATTCAAATATCCTTACTTAATGTGATGAATGAAACTGTTTCGATGATGTTTTTATTATATCCTTTATAATTATAGGAATCTTTATAAGCTTGGCCCCTTAAATCCCTTGATGCTTGAAGTTTGCTTCTGTATTTGTTTGTAATGTAAGCATATGCGGAGAAAGAAGACTGACAGAGATAAGTCGATGTGAAACACATACGTTTTTCACTGCAATCTTGCTAACATTATTTTCTAAATATACCTGCTTCCATAACTTTCTTCCAAACCTTGCAAATAAGCAATAAAAATTTCAAAAAAGTTCGCTTGAGAATAGATTTCATTTGTTATAACAAATTACTATAATCGAGAGAAATTTATGAGGTTCCCCTTTTTCAACAAATGCTTTGAAAAATGTAACGTTTTTACACAAGGTTTTTATTTTATCTAATTGTCTCCTCCCTTGCCTTGAAGCGAGGTGGCGGTTTTATTTATTATTTCGAAGATGTCTGAAAGGGAACCCAGTTTAAGCAGCCAATTGACATCTTTTAATTCTTAGATGAAACTCTCCTCTGTAAATGTGATAATCAGTGGATCTTTTAGTTAAAATAGTCTCTCTAAAATTGTTCCCCTCGATAGCCACCGGACCTCTGTGTGGAGCAAAAGATTGAAGTGATTCATACCCACATCATCAGCGGTGAGCTTTAAAAGGCGTGCTTGAAGCGGACAGCTCTTCACATGGCTAGTTACTTTCACAGAACCATCCAATACGTCTTTCAAATCTTGCAGCATCTTTTTAATTACCAAAGAATGGCGATGTAGGATTCAATGACTGCTGGAGACATTTTCTGCCACTACCTTTATTCTACACATAAATATCCACACATTTACTCCTCTCTATTATTTTTTCTTATATACTCGTGAACAGCCTTGAAAATTTTCTCACCAGTGGCATAACTTTTAAGCTCTTCACACATAAGTTCTATTTTAATAAAGCCATATAACGTGAGATAGCTAGGATCATATTTTCTTATTTTTCCCCGATTTTCTTTTTGGTAAGAAACCTTCTTTCCACGAATTGAGGAGGAACAACTTGGATGAGCTGGACTCTTCTGCATCTTTGCTAGTTGTCACTGAATCAGTTGATTCAGATGCTTCAGTGACTTCCCTACATTTCCTTTTCAAAGACCCAGATTTCAGCAAATTTTTCATTATTCTGGAATGAAAAAATGCCCCAAATAAAAGAAAGCAAAATATTGCCAACAATGAAAGGTATTTTCCAACCGTAATAGTACAAAACATATTTTATGGCAAAAATAGCAACAAAAGTACATAATATTATACATATTAATTCCAATGATTATAATTACTTCGTAGTCACTTTTTTTATGCAGTTATATCTAAAATTTCTATTGGACAGTGGCGCAGCTGCCAGTTGTTCGACTTTCTCAAATGTTCAACTTCACCCTTGGCAAATGCTTGAGGCACCAAAGGTTCCCGCGTCGCTCACTTTTAGAACCTCTGTTGTAGAGTGTGCTTTTCTTTTTTCAGATGAGAAAGTTGTACCTATAAAATGATTTATGCTATGCTCTGATATTCTGGTATTTCTACTATGTGATTATTTGAAAATATGATTCTCGTAAAAACCTGAAAATAAAATTTTGCAAAATAATATTTCTTGTTACATTTTTGCTACCAACTCTAATAGACAACCTGAAATTTTATTATTAAAATGAGTAGAGTTAACTCGTTATTTTATAAACAAATTCTTGTTTGTGTAAAACTGTATTGTATTAACGGCTTGTATAATTTTTTTGCTGGGAAAAATTTGATTTTATAATAACTGCTATGATATGTGTTTTTATCTTTTGAAAT